GAGCGGTTCCACCTGAAATGGAAAGGACAGGAACCACGCTCTCCAGCCACTCTGACGTTGAAATATATGCGGCATCTTCAGAAGTTCTTGGAAAATGCATATTTTGAAAAAAGACTATTTATGGATATAAAAATTTTGGCACAAAATAAATGTGTAATTTTTATTTCACTTTTAGTGAACTTTTGAAGTTCCCTAGTAAGTTCCTTATAGTCAGTAAATTCCTTACTTGAAATGTGAAGAGTGGGTTAACATTTTTATTAACGTTTCTCTTGAGTATATCAAGGGAAGTTTTGGACACACAGTTAAAGAATACCAATGTGAATGTGGGTCAGATTATTGCCTCCCAACTTAACACAGTGTACTCACTAAAGCCAGCCACCCTTCGGCTGCTTTCCTGTCCACTGTTGTTTGTGGTTTTTCTTTCCTTTAAACTCTACAGGTTGAACATCTCTAATCTAAAAACTCAGACTCTGAAATGCTCCCAAATCTGAAACCTGTTGAGTGCTGAAGTAGGTAGAAAGTCCCACCCGCCCTCAGGGGACGAGCCCCATGTGGAACACTGCGGTATAAAAACGTTGCCTGGAGTTGGCCGCAGCGTGTGCATGAAGTGTACGTAATGAAGTCTGTGTTCACATTGGGCCCCATCTGCCAGTATCTCATAATGTATATGGAAATACTCTAAAATCTGAAAAAAGCAAAATCCTAAACACTTCTAGCCCCAACCATTTTGATTACCTGTACTACAAGGATCTACCCATGTTGATAATTTAAAATATAGATTTACTTTTAATCATAGTTTAGATTTGTAGAATTCTCCAGAAAAATATTTCATTTCAAAAGAAAGAAAGGGAATGGTCTGAGGCCCTGCGGTGAGCAGTGGCAGGGAGAACTCCGCGGCGTGCAGCCTGCAGGGTTCTGGCCTCCTGTTTCTTTTTGTTATTTATATTAATCACATCACGGATATTTTTAATCACTTGGCCTATATTTTACTTTCACCATTTTTCACTGGTGGTAGGTATTGTGAATGGTAAGTGTTGTTGTAGCAAATGGTAGAAATTATTGGTGGCATTACAACTCCTATGAAGTTTATTCTTTCCTCCCCAAAATATTTTGTGCAATAACCACATGCCCACTGCCTAGAAGTATGGGTGTGGACAGAGCCAGTTTTTCTGCCCCTGGGAACCTCCAACTTCCTTTGTAAGGCGAAGTGAACGCGGTGTTGGTGGCCTCTGATCAGTTGCTGCTCTCCGAGGGCTCCAGCTGTTGGTCACTGTCACAGCTGTCCTGGGATTCTGCCTCTCACACACACTCTCACATGCTCGTGAGGATGTGAGTGCCCAGACCCGTCCCCACTCCGCAGTCCTGCAGAAGGGGACAGACACGCTGCACCAAGTGGCCCATTTCTTTGATGTTGAAAATCACCCCTTCTCAAGGGGGGCTGCTTGCCGGAGCCACAGGGTTTGGCCAGTTGAAGTCACCTGTGAGCTGAAAACGCTTGTGCAGTTTTCTCCCTACAGACTTACGGATCGTCTTTCTGATGTTTGCTGTTTTATTTCTGGAAACAGAAGGGAAACACTGCCCTGCACATCGCATCGCTGGCTGGGCAGGCGGATGTGGTCAGAGTCCTCGTCAAGGAAGGCGCGAACATTAACGCTCAGTCCCAGGTATGGCACTGGGCATGGCTGTCCCGGGACGCGACCGTGTGGGTTGAGCTGGGTGCACAAACTTACTGTGTATCTTACATGGCTGGCCGTGGTTTGAGATTCAGCCATGTTGGCTTGAAAAACATGGCAAGTGGGTATAAGCTTATCACAGCCGTGGCGTGGAGGGCCAGAGGAGGAGAGTCACAGTGCAGCCAGACCCCGCAGGCTCTGTGTCCCTTAGGCACGCCTGCATATGTGCACGTGCCCTCTGCGTCAAAACAGAAATACCTGTTGGGCAGAAGTGTACCGTCAGGGCGGCTGTCTCAGAGGTAAGGACTCATCAATGGTACTATTATGGGCCAGCAGTTCCCACTAAAATATGAAGTTTTTATCAAGCATATTAACATTTAAAACCTTATATTTAAATGAAAAGATTCAACTAGAATTTTAATAATTTCTTTTATTATGGAGGGCATCTGTGTGTATGCATGCGTGAGAGAGACAGAGAAAGTCCCTTCATGGGACCTGGTCCTGCCACTGTCCTTTATTTCTCCATCGGTCTGTCCCATCGGGATGGTGGTCTGCACACTTGTGCCCTGAGGGTTGTGCAAGCTCTCAGACTGGGCTTCAAGCCACAGCTGGTCATGTGGGATCCAGCCCCTGGGTGCAGCCCACCCGCTGTGCTGGGGCCAGCCCTCGGATAACCCCTTGGTCACATTGCCCAGCTGGGGCTTCTAGTGGAAATATACAGGTCAACCACAAATACCAGTATTCTGCTAATCCTCCGGAGACAAAGGTGGTTAGGCTCTCTGAGAAAATTTATATGACTTTTTAATGAATAAAATGCCCTCCCACTGATCAGACGGGCGTGCGACTTCTGTTCTGCCTGAGCACACCTCAGGCACACAGTGGTTTCCATGTCTGGGACTGTAATTGGCGCCCCTGCTGCCTCACACCCTGTGCAGCCGTGTACTCACAAGATGGCTAGGGAAATAACTGGGCTCACCCGGACCTTGCAGCTGGCGGTCACTTTGGGGTTCTTCCCAACCTTCTCTCATACTGTTAATTGAAAGAAGACGATGCAAGTGATATAGTGGTTAAAGTGCCGGGTTCTCACATGGCTGGCTGCGGTTCAAGCCTTTGGACTGGTGGCTTAACAATCTACTGGGCATGTGTGCCCAAAATCCCAGGAGAAAGGAGGAAAAGGGATTGCAGTGTGGCCATCCCCCTGGGGGATGATTTCTTACTTTCCCTCTCCCTGTCTCTTTCTCTCCAGTGGGTACACGAGCCCTATGGCAAAAACCTTCCAAAAAAATTAGGAAAAAAATAAAAGAGAAGATGCATAGCCCTGGGGTGGTTCTTAGAGCAGTAATTCCCAGCCAGTGCCGACAGGCATCTGAGGAAGAGCTTTCTACATGCCTTGGCTAAGTGCTTAGGAATTCTGCTTTGTGGAAAAGCTTAAATCTTAGTTCTGCTTTTACTAAGCTCAAACGCATAGCTGTGTGTAAGCATTCCCGTGGTCTGTGGTTAGGGCTGGCTGTAACTTGTTTCCAGAGTTTTCCCGGCGGTGTGGAGCACGCACATAGTGCACAGAAAGTCGACAAGTGACAGGGGGGTTTAGAGCTGAAGTTTTCCAGCTCTCTTGGGCTGAAGGTCTCCTCCCCCAGGCAGCTACGCACGGTCCCTGCTCCATCCATTCCTGATGAGGGGGAGCACGTGCCGTGGGCTGCGTCAGCACCGAGCTTGCGCCCCGAAGGCTCCCGAACCCCGCCGTCCACAGAAAGCACCCTGACGTATCTCCTTGGAGCGCAGCCCAGCTTTAACGGCCGCCCTGGCCCCGGGGCGTTGGGAGCCTTTCCATAATAGTTAGAGCTCGGTCAACTCCCAGCAGGGCAGCTGGGCTTCACTCTCTGAGTGTCCAGGCGGGGCAGCACTTCACATGACTCGAACATTTGAGGTGACCGCCTAGAACATGGTTAATCTGGACACTGTGCAGTTCTTGCTACACAGCAAGCCCTTACTTCGTTTAATACAGTAAACGTCGCAGTCAGTGGTGGCCTAGCTGTGCAGTTATGGCCCAGGTCGCTCATGAAATTATAGTGAAGTCCCAGGCTGATGCTACCCGAAGGCTGTTCTTGGGCAGGAGGATTCATGCCCAGGGTAGTTTTTTTTTTTTTATTTAATGTTTTATTTTTAGATTCTTGCTATAGTGCATGTGTACTTACGGGAAAGAGACAGAGAGAGAGAGACAGAGAGGGAAAGTGAGAAATTGCCCTCCCCTCACAAAGGATGGCCATGCTGCCTTCCCTTCTCTTCCATTCTCAGGAGATTTGCCACATGGACATAGGCCTGGCATGTTTTCCAAGCTTCCAGGTCTGAGATTTGAACCACGGAGTCAGCTATGTGGGATCCCGACCTTCACCCCCATGCCACCTGCTGGCCCCCTAGTGGGTTTCATGTGGTTGGCAAGCTGGTGCAGGCCTTTGGGGTGTGAGCTCCCGCTCATGTGAATAGGCTGCTCACGCACCTTTGTGACATCGTGGGCCATTCCCTCCAGAGCATGTGGCCCAGTGAGAGGGTGAGGCAGAGCGCAGGACTTGTGAGCCCTGGTCCTCGAAGTCACACGCCACCAGCTGCACCGGGATGTCACTGTAGACACAGACGAGATGTCCTGTAGTCGAGATGGGAGTGGGATTCTATGTCTGGTAGGGACGAGCCTCAGAGTTTGCCCGTTCTTTAACCAGGTTAAAGGCACTGCAGCATGGAAAGGAGTTCACATTTTATTTTATTTTATCTGCTCTTCCATTGAACAGTTGTTTGTTGAACACCTGTCAAGTGCTAAGCATTGTTACAGGTACTGAATAAAGTCACCCAGAGACTCCTGTGTTGCAGCCTGAAGGATGAATTGGTCGGGGCAGAGTCCCCAGCATCTCCGCATCCTCCCGCCCACTCCCCCTATTCTGCCCCTTGCCTGTGCTTGGCCAGTGCACTTGGCAGTTTGGCAGTCACACTGTTGGTTAAAATCCTCAGCTATGAGATGACAACTTGCATGTCTGCTGTAACGTTTCATCTAGGAAAACAGGACAGCTTTTAAAGATCATTGAAATGTATTTCAACCTTAACAGGATAAGACCAAAAGTAAGAGCGAGCGGTTTCCGGAGACACTTTTTAGGGTGCTCTTCGCAATGTTACAGTCAGTTCGCTGAGGCTGTATCTGAGAGTGTGAGTGTTGCGTGTGCCATCCGGCAAACTAGTGCAGGGGCTGCTTCAGCGGTGGTGGCCACGCTGTCCCGTGCTCCTCAGGCTGCGCTGTCGTGGAACTATTGGCCTTTTTTTTTTTTTAAAATGTTAAGATCTGTAAGAATTCTTTTCAAGATGTATTTATGCATTGACTTTTACCCATGCTCAGTAATTTTTTTTTTTCCTAAATATTCACGACACTCAATCTTCAGGCTTAGAGAGCAGAAGCTGTGCCTGCAGCAAAAGCGCTTAGGCACCCTGTAAACTCAGCCCTGTAAACTCAGCCCTGTAAACTCAGCCCCTACCCCCCTCCCCTTCCTCCTCTGGTCCAGGGCCCTCTTCCATCTCAGAATCGTTAAGCACCACTGAAGGTCCCCTGTGCTGTATAAGGTAGCATTTATAATCCTGCACAGCGACTGCACACATCACTGGACCCTTGCGGAGACGAGTCCTGGAATGAAGTCTTTGGGAGCACTGGGGCGGATGAGGTAGCCGGGTGCTGGCACAGGAGCTGCACCTGGGGAAGCTGCGGGGTCACAGTGCGCACAACCACTTGGCCTTCAGGATTCCCTGCTCTGCCGAGTTGGAAGAGGTCTGTCTGAAGCTTGGGAACCAGCGTGGGGTCCTTTCTTGGGTGGGGGCCTGTGGTGGTACTCAGTCCCCACCAGCCCGGCCCCACTGTCTGGTTCCCCTCCTGGCCTGCCCACACGGTGATGGCAATGCCACGGAGAGCCTTGACAGGTGCCGCCCTGCCGAACGCTCTCCTGCCGCATCCTGCCCTTTGCTGTCACGGGAGCGCAACACACCCACTCCCTGTTTTCACTGTCCTCACTGGCTTTCCCTTCCTCGACTCTAAGGCCACCCTTCCGCTGCCTCTCAGGGTTCTTAAAATACACGAGCTTTCACCTGCCTGCTGTGTGTTCAAGATATGCTATCGGACTTGTCGTGGCCCTGCAACACTGTTCATTCATTTCCCTTATAATACTTTTTCAGTTTAAATTTTTTCTTCTTTTGAAGCTTGCAGATTTTAATTTATAATCAAATTTAAAGTTTTGTTCTAGTTTTACATTCTGTGTTTATATTTTGCTATATAAATATCTTCGCCATTTTTAGTGACGTTTCCCCATTCGTACAATACATACTGTATAGTTTTTATTTCAAAAAACTTATTTTCCTTTTAAGTTTTTAAGAAACTTTCAGTAAAATTTGAAATCTCTCATAACCTATTCTAGTACGAATAATAACTTATACCACTAAAGGATGTTAACTAAACTGTGTATATATTGAAGATAATGGTGAACTGTTTAGTTTATGAATCGGTAAACACCAGAGGTATAATGTAGGTATTATTTTATGTGTGTGTGTGTGTGTGTGTATGTGTGTGTATGTGTATGTGTGTATGCATGTGTGTATGTGTGTATGCGTGTATGTGTGTATGTGTGTATATGTGTATGTGTGCGTGTGTATGTGTGTGTATGTGTGTGTATGTGTGTGTATATGCGTGTATGTGTGTATATGTGCGTGTATGTGTGTATATATGTGTGTATGTGTATGTGTGTGTGTATGTGTGTGTGTGTGTGTGTGTGTGTATAAAGAATTCTGTATACAAGGACACTGAAAAGTTCATGGAAAAATGGAATTAAAATACAAATTTTTTTGGTGCAAAAAACCCCCTGAAATCCATTCATAGTTTTTTCATAGTGTACATTTTCCATGAACTTCCTGAAGACCCTCCCCATCTTATAAAATTCGTGGCCATGAAGGCCCTGAGTGTGCGGGTTGTGAAGCCTTCCAGTCTGGCAGTGTTGGGGGAACGCCACTCTGGGATGGAGACAGGTGTGTGGGAGGGCACCCTCTCCTTCGCCCCTCCTCGGTGTTCAGGGTGTCGGAGCTTCACACCGCAGAGGTTTACTTCGGAGCCGTCCGGTGGCCGCTGTCCTATTTCCCCAACCTGAGCTTTCGCGGTGATCAAAGCTGTCCGATTGCCTTTGTCCTCAGAATGGCTTCACGCCCTTGTACATGGCGGCCCAGGAGAACCACATCGACGTCGTGAAGTACTTGCTGGAAAACGGCGCTAACCAGAGCACAGCGACGGAGGTAAGCCACTCCCCCGAGCCCGTCCCTGGCCTGGACTTCCAGGAAGCCATTCTTCCGTCAGTTTGCCGTACTCTTGCTTTTCGGGACTCCTGGGATCAAGATGTGATTGCCATAGATTCCACCCCTTCCTTCTTTTATTTATTTATTTATTTATTTATTTATTTATTTATTAATTCACTTTACACCATCAC